GCAGCAGCCATTGTTACGTATATCACTCTCAGGGGCAGTACTGCAGCTACTTCGAGGAAAGCAGCCGCGTTAGTTACGTAGTCTCGACCGCAACGACGGGTTTATCTAATTAATAATATAACTCGAACTTCCGATCGAGCCATATAGTGTCAAAACTCGACGTGACCTCGCGTCGGACGCACGTGTCTGAACGTCGCCCAATCGTAATTCATTCGCGACGACGGCGCAGGCCCATAAATTCGATGCCAAGTTCATCGACATCGACGTGGCAGACAATCATAATTGCGCGATAAAAGACGACGACGACGACGACGACGACGACGACGACGACGACGACGTGGAGCGCCATATGCGCATCGTCGATGCTTTTATTATTCCTGTGCGTCGAGTCATCCGCGCAAAATTTAACGATTTTCAAAAGTTTATATATTCTCCTCTGGCCCGGACGAGGTAACGGGGCAATAAAAAATCGTCTTTATTCCCCAAGTGTAAAAAAGTTCATTCGACCTGCATGGCAGCACACCATATCGGTCGCTCAAGATACATAAAAGCGAAGAAAAGTCGAAAAAAAAAATCCCTAACGCAGCATATCATTGTGTCCGCGCGCGCGCGCCTTATTCGAAACTCGTCGCACGCGCCGCCGCGGAATCACTTTTTCTCTCACGTATGTATAAAAGCGCAGAGCAGCGTCGTCCTCTTCCAAGATTTTTAGACTCGTCTGTAAGAAAACGACGTCGTCTATATTTATACTTAACGAACTCGTTAAGAGGATGTCTTTACGCCTTTTACGGGCGCGTAATAGCTCGAGCCCGCGCGCGCGTGTTGAATTAAGACAAGGATGCGCGCGCACGCCTCATCAAATATATATACACTACAGCGCTCGCTCGACTTTGTAGCTTCGCCACGGGATTTTCGCGATGTCTTTTTTTTTTTTAACTCGAATGCTTTTACAATATAACGAGCCGCATAAATATACCGAGCACTTTTCATTAAAATCCAATTCTCTCTCTCTCTATACACGTTGAAGTGGAAGCGACCCCGTAATAACATAAAAAAGTTTAAAGCGAGTCCGAGGTTAAGGCCGCGAAAGCTCGAGAGCGTCAAGGTATAGAAAACGTAACTATTATATATAGAACCAAAAGGTATATCCCCGGACGACGAGTCTGCGATTTTGCGTACTTATCAAGGCACCGCAGACGCCTCAAAGATTCATATAATACACGCAGCTCTTCTCGTGTGTGTGTCATTGAAATCGTCCCGCGTCGTTATATTATTATACAGCAGCGGAGACGACGTATCTTACCATGGTTGACTTTATATATTCCTCGAATGACGACGACGAAGATGTTTGGCAAGAAAAGTACATATAGTTACGACGAGCCGCTCGTAAATCTAACAAAGTTAGCTCTCGTTGCAGCTTGCGAACGTTGATTAATATGCAATCGCTCGCGAGGATCGTCGTTTCCCAGCCCGTGTATGTATGAAAAGGAGAAATATCGTCATCCTGAATGGAAGCTAATACGACGTTTTATTAGCCAGTTACAGGGACGACAGTAATAATGACGCTATATACGCCGTGTATAGCGGATGACATATCTATTTGACCGCGTCTATATAACGAAGCAACAGTAGCTAATGTTGCGACATTTCGAATTTGTGTTTGCAATCGCAAGCGGCGCAACGTACGTATAGTAATACCGCGATATCTAACCGATTTTTCCAAGGCATTTAACTCATCTGTCTGATTCGGCGGCGGCGCAAAAACGAAATGACATTACTATATAGCACATAGATAGGCTACCGTCGGCCGGGGACCGAAAACGACCGCGTCGACGATCCGACGGGGTGAGAAGAAAAAAGAGATGAAGAAGAAGAAGAGCAGCGGCGAAGATGAAGCGAAGAAGAGAGAGAGAGAGCGAGAGATAGATAGAATTGGAGCCGGGGGTGCTGCGAGCGCCGGGGATAGAGAAAAGGCCAATGATAAGAAATATGAAAGAGGCATATCCCGTACGCCTCGTGAGTTCATAATCCACAATGCTCCGCCGCCGTCGTCGTGTGCTTAACGGCCCGAAATGGACACCTTATCTCTTTCTCTCTCTCTCTATCGTGCGGAGAGGAGAAAGCATTGAAAGCCGGAGCTCGAGCTATATATATGCCCGAGCGGCTATAAGGAATTGTCGTCAAGCCAAGGCCACCACGCCGCGAGACTTTATCGCGGCGCACGATGTGCATGTATATACAGTAAGTCGGAATCACATAAGAGAAAAAGAATGTTGAATTGCACGAGCATATAAATATGTGTGTTATATTATAAGTATGTACGCAAAAGAGTCGCTATATACAGCGCAGATGAGACAAGTCCTTTGTCTTTCTCTGACTCGAGGTCGTGTGCAGTGCGTGCCTACATACTACTCCGCGCGAACAGATAGCCGCCTCCCTCCTTGCCTGCCTGCCTCTGTATATAATATGCCCGAAGCAGCAGCAGCAGCAACGTCATCCTCATCGTCGTCGTCTCAAGCCCTTGATTATGTCGTCGTCGTCGCGAGCGGCGGAGCTTCGTCGTAATTTATCTCTCCGCGCGAGAGCCTTCCTATACACATCTATATAGGTATACGCGATAACAATTCCGTACGCGCCTCGCGAAGCTTTTGAGGAAAAAAAGGCCTATACACTGAGAAGAAGCTGCTGCTGCTGCTGCTGCTCGCGGGAGACGTCGTGTGAACAAATGCTGTACGCGCAGCCCGTTACTATATACTGTTGTCGCGCAACATTCAATTATGCACAAGTGCGCAACAGCAGCAGCAAACGGACGTTGCTGCACACACACATACACACAACAGGCCTTTTAATTACGTTTTTTTGTTGTCGTTGTTGTTTACTTCTCGGCCTCGCCGAGTTTTATACTCGGAGCTGCTGTATAGCTGCCACACGAACACGCGTAAAGTTCCATCGTTCATTCTTCGCGAGTAAATAATGCCAATCCGAGATCATATATAAATGATGGCAGCTACCCTGCGTTTACTTCTGTATAATAATGACGATGCTCCGCGTGCTGCCAGTGCCGCAAATGAAAAAGACTTCGACGCCGTATGTAATAAAACTCATTCTCGTGGCTCGCGAGCGATATAATGTTTATAATTCGTACAACACACACACGCGCGCGCGCTCGCGGCAGGTAATCTCGATCTCCTCGCGGGCGCGAGTAATTTTTAACGGGTGGCTTTCACACGCGCAGATATATAGTATATATAGTAGGTATGCAGAAGCGCTATACCCACAAAGAGCGAGAGACGGGGGTCACGGGCCTTTGTATTTTTTTAATCGAACTCTCCTCCGGGTCCGACCGCGAGACCGCAAAGAGTTAACGTACTTCGAGGTATATACGCGCGCCGCCACCACCACCGCGCCTAGACTGTGCAGCGTTATATACCGCTGCTCATGCCGCGAGTATAGAAGGAGGAAGAGGGAAAAAGAAAGTGAGAAGAAAAGAAAAATAAAACGAGGAAGTATCTCTCCTCTCTTCGGTCTGCCGTTCGATGGGGTAAGAAATTTGATTATCTCTCTTTCTTTCTCTCTCTCTCGGTGCGGTTCACGCGCGGAGCCGAAGAGAAAGGCCAATGGCTCGCGCGCGCGTTTCTATTAAGAGCTGTTGCTGCTGCTGCGAACGCGTCGAGGAGAAGATACAGGCCTCGCGAACTCTACTCTTTCTCTCGCGCGCTCGCCTCTGGGAACTCCGCTACTAGTGTACAGGCAGTATAGGATAGGTATATATTGCAACACGCTCGGCGAAAAGTTAAGCAGCCTGTGTAACCTGTTTGTACGACCGCACTGGATAAACATGCTCGGTACTGCGCAGTCTTACTCTTTTTCTATCTCTCTCTCTCGCTGGTATACACATTTTGCAAATATATATACAGCAGCAGTGGTGCTGCACTCGTATAATATACAAACTTTGTTTTTCCATGATATACACACACAGAGCTCAGGCCACAGCGCCGAGACTACCAGACGCGAAAATAATTGAGCGAAAAGTTCAATGTTTCCGGTATGTGTATATAGCGTATAATACCAAACTGAGCCGCTGATGGATTTGCATGTGCCGCGCGTATGTGATCGAAATAATAGCCGCTGCTGCTGTAAAGTCGCGTATGGCATGTATAATATACACACGTTAATGCATTTTGATTACGCATCTCGTGTGTGTGTATAATGACACTTTTCGCGTCGAAGGCGAATCGGCGTCGAGCGAGCGAGAAAAATCTTGCATGTGCAGAAAAACGATTACCGCGCAGCCGCGTGCAGAGCGCGCGAATATCATCGACGCGTATGTGCGTGTGCATGGATCGCGAAAGCGAGTGAGAACGATCCAAGAGAGCAAGGCCAAATTACAGTAATTCATGCCCTATTATTTTTACTCGTGTGTAAGCAAGTGCGTTATATATTTGTCACGCAAAATAAACACAAACATCCTTTTTCTCATGGCATGCGGCGATCGAGGCGACTCTGCTTCTGCGAACTTCATTTTACAATCCAATACGATTTTCATCCGAGATCCTGTATCATCATCGTCGTCGTCGTACGCAGACGGACGCGTGTATATATGCGAGCTAACGTGCGTATAATTTTATGCCTTCGAATGGCTGCTTTATATCGCTGCCACGATTCTCGCGGTGCAACAAAAATGCAACGATATATATACGTTATAAAGCTGCTCGTGTCTGCCTACCTTCTCCTCTTTGGTTAATTATAACGATCCGTGACGTCCTAATTCGTGCAGCCCGCACTTCTCTCTGATGGGTGTAATTTAAAGAAAAATCATTGAAATTCAAGGCTGAAATTGCGATTTCAAATTTTGTCGCTTGGTGTCTGCGTGATGGATCTGGATGATTGTTCAGGGAGAACGTGAAATCAATGTACTTTGTTATCATTTTATTGACTTACAATTAATAATTTGCTTTATTATTCAGAAAAAATTTATTAATTTATAAACATTATTTTTACACGCGTTCATGAGACACTATTATGTTTCGACTTACAATGAATTTTCAGACTACTATTATGTTTGAATACTTTTCTACATAAAACACATGGATATCTTATGCCTTTATGCGCAATATCAATATGGATTCTGAGCGAATCCTTTGTTGAGAATGTCTTGTGACATATATCACATTTTGGTGCAAGTTTACGATGAACTGAATCGATGTGTGTTTTGAGATGATGTTTACGTGAAAATGTCTTTTCACATACATCGCATGCATATCTGATACGATTGTGCACGTATTTCATGTGGACCTTGAGAATATCATTATTTGCGAATTTTTTCTCGCAAACATCACACGCATATGCGACATCATTATGCACCACATCGATATGGACTTTGAGATAGCTCTTATACTTGAACTTTTGTCCGCATGTGTCACACATATGGGTGATACCATTATGAAACCGATCGATGTGGGTTTTAAGACTGCTTTTATACTTGAAGTTTTTTCCGCATGTATCACACATGTGGGTGATACCATTATGCAACTCATCGATGTGAATTTTGAGTTGACCTCTTCGTGTAAAAGTTATTCCGCAAGTGTCACATCTATGAGTGATTTTATCATGCACCGTACTAATGTGGACTTTGAGAGTACTCTTTGTTAAAAATGTCTTGTGACATATATCACATTTTGGTGCGAGTTTATTATGAACTGAAGCGATGTGTGTTTTGAGATAATGTTCACGTGAAAATGTCTTTTCACATACATCGCATGCATATATGATACGATTGTGCACGCTATTCACGTGGATTTTAAGATTACTTTTAGTTGTGAATTTTTTCCCGCATATATCACACGTATGTGCGATACCATTATGCACCACATCAATGTGAGTTTTGAGAGCATTTTTTCGTTTAAAAATTTTTCCACATGTTTTACACACGTGGATGCTACTGGCTTGGGTTGTATAAAGCTGTACTTTGAGTCCATGTTGATGATCAGACTTTTTAGTATTTCTGTTTTTTTTATCTCGATCGATAAGTTCACAGTCAAATTTCAAATTCGATTCTGCAGCAACTTCACAAACAATTTCTTTTTTCACTTCCCCAGGAGGTTCTTTTTTTATAACGTTTAGAGTTTTATCATCACTACCTTTTACATTCCACAAGTGATTTGGAGAATCAGTTATTTTAACATCTGACAAACCAATATTGGGCTTGACGTCTTCACATTCAACGACTACTTCCACTTCCTCATCCATTTCACTTCCATGATCTTCTTCATATTTTCGGAGAATATGGTTCTGTTAAAAAATTAATACTCTCAGAGAATTTTCATTAAAAAAATAAACTATACACAATGATTTAAATATAATTATTAAATCTTACTGAATTTTTTTGCTGGAATGGTAAGAATTGGAAGCTCTTATGATCGGGTTTCTCGTCAATCATTTCACTATCATTTTCAACACGCAAAACATCTCTAGGCTCCTCTTTCACTCTGAAATAACCTCAATGAAATAAATTTTTTTTGATTCAAATTAATATTTTTACAACTTCATTTTCATGAAGTAAAAATTACCTGGTGGCACAATTAAGTATGTCACTGGATTCCATCGTTCTCTCGTGGAATTTCGATAACAATTAACCTCTCCGTGATGATTTCACCTATAAAACTAACCAAACACGAAAATACTGGCTAGAAGCGATGTGCTCTCTGCTCGCTATATCTCGGAAAACTGTGTCTGTGTGAAGAGCTCCGGCTTATGCTCGATCAGCTCCGTGTAGCTTAGCGCAATGGTATGCGCGGCAAAATACCGTATTAGGCAAACGCACGGAGGTCATAGGGCGACACACGATGTAAACAAAAGAATGAGTATAGCAATATGTTCTTGTCCAGCCTTTCCGTGTATATGACTTAAATTTAAGGTAATCATATTTATGAATTGTATGGTATAATTTCGAAGTTATCAATATTAACGGAGTAAAATTAAGTCATTACAATTACATCATAAAATTGAAAAAGTGACAAGTATGGTATGGTAAAAATTTCAATAGCGATTTTAGCCTCGTTAATTTTGAGGATTTTTTTTATAGAATTTCTCACATACGCGTCATATACTTTAATTGCGGGGCTCGCAAAAATTCCAAATGAATTCGAGTACTGCCAAGAGAGAGATAATACGCACGCAAAAGAGATCAATTCCTGCAGAGCTATATATACATGTAACTTCAGCCTCGCCGTGTCTTTTTCTGTTCGCCCATCGACCCATCGACCGTACGGGCTACTTCGTCGAGCTTTTCAAACTTTTTAAATTGTTCTTTTCTTTCGAAAGAGATAAAATACAACGCCTAGCAACGAGATTCCATTCGCGTATTATATATCCCTGGACCTTATATACATCGAACGTTGAAACGGCAAAGAGGCGAGAGTCACTTCGCCGAGTGTCTGTATCGTGGAAAAGTACCATCCCACTATTTAGTCCGATGAATTTAATTGAGTTTTCACCGCCACGGCCACAAACGTATCGAATACTTTCGACGTTGTTCGACTGTAAAATTTAAACTCGCGCTGAAAAATGCGACGTTTGATATCTTAACAGACGGTATATATACGAGCGAGAGTTTAAAAGCCGAAACAATAGAACGTGAGAGAGTATCTGTCTAACGATGATAGCTGCCTAATTTATTCGAAAAACTCCGTGAATTATGTCGGGGTTTGAAGAAGCAACGAAAAATATGGGATGCGAGCGGAAAAACCAAGGCCCATAATCATCCAGTGTACTCGTATAGTTACAGAAGCATATCCCTGCGCACTTCTGGTCTGGAAGGAAGTGTATTGTACGCGGTGCTCGGCGGTCGTAATTGAAACTCGTGCATGAAAATACTCGCAGAAAGGAAAGAAAAAAAAATCATAAAACGTGAGAATACGAGATCGACGTCTTCGAGTCAATAAGTCATTCGAAAGATGTAAGTTGCTGCAGTTCTCGTTCGAGACCGATCGTTCGCTCCGCGTTTCAAAAAGAAGCGTATACAAAACGCAGACGGAAATAAGTAAAATTGCATGGCTTTACGCAGTATAAAGAGGAAGCGATGGACGTACTTTTTTCAACCGCGCGCACCCGGTAACTAGCGAATTTAGTTGTTCTTTTTTTTTCTCAGAGAATCGTGATCGTTAAATTATCCTTTGTGAAAATATATACACGATTTACAAAACTTATGTGTCATTATAATTCTATACGTACTCGACGAGCGCCAAAGTTATTCACGTATTCATCAACTCCTTTTCGGAAAACACGGATAGATAGAGAGTACCATATATACCATAAAGAGTATGAAACAATCCATAAAATCAACACGCATAAAACAGCCCTGCGTGTGCCTGGGAAATTATTCACTCGCGCGTATGGAATCTATGCGTATGATATTGCGTGCTGCTGCATATGGCTTCGAAAATCCGCAATGAATAATTAAACGATTTCCCCGGCTTTTCCCATGCGAACTTAATCAAAAGTCGAAAATAAACTCTCTGCACCTCAGACGCCGTATATATATCTGTGCGCGCACAGTTCTGCGTATGCCGCCGTCCCGAAACTTTATGCCAGATTGATGATTCTGAATTATCCGGGACGTATATACTCGGCTGTGGTGGTGGTGGTGGCAAGGGGTGCTGCTCTCTCTCTCTCTCTATCCCTAAAAAGTTGGAGCACGTCGAGGCATCAGGCAGCAGCATCAGGTTGCGAGACAGACAGGTCGCACCGCCGACGTAGCTACTGCTGTCTCTTCGTCATCGTCATTGTCGCGCGCGCGGCTCTGCTCTGCTCTGCTCTGCTCTGCGCCCCGGCTAAATTATTCGAGCCTTTGGCCCCCGCTAAGAGTATAAGAGCAGCAGCTCGTTTCTCATGATTTACTCGGGAGATATTCTCGCTGCTTTTACTTAAAGGCATATTTGACGCGCGGAAGAAGCGCCAGTATACACACTGTAAATAGCAGCAGCAGCAGCAGCAGCAGCAGCTCTTCTACGGGGCCGTGTCTGCGGGTCTATTTTTTCTCTTTCTGCTCGAAGCAGCATCGCGTCTTATATACATCGGGGTATTCGTGAATGTTTAAAGGGGCAATATTTCCCAGAGAGAGTGAGAGACGCCTCTGACTCGACAATCTCCTTTATTGCATAGAAAACAACGACGCACCCCGAGCTTATCTATTCGTTCTCTCTTTTTTTTCTCCATCTTCTTCTTCTTCTTCTCGACTGTACACGCGCTGGAGCATCTTAGCTGCTCTTATCCGGCGTAAGAGATGACATTTTTCATTTTCTCTCTTTTATTTTTGCCTTATCTCTCGTTCGCTCGCTCGCTCGCGTATGCGTTACAAAAGTATGAGACACACTACACGTATTATAGCGCGAAGCTTCGAAATTGAGAGATTGAGAGATTGAGAATGCATGTATAATACGGCGCAGAGAGAGAGAGAGAGAGAGAGAGAGAGAGAGAGAGTCCGGGCGCACGGCACACATTTACTGTCAGTCATTCATCAAGTTAGGTGTCGCCGTTTCGCGCGCCGAGCGCGTTATAATGCGAATAAAAGTGTCATTCGGCCGTTGCGCGCCCATATACACGAGTCGGGGACGACGAATTAGTTACGGAGCCAACGAGGGCTCGAATATAGAGGCCGATCTGCGCGACAAGATAAATGCGATTGCAGAGAGGGATAGAGAGAGAGAGAGAGAGAGAAAAGGCCTCTGATGTCTGTCCTGCTGCTGCTGCTGCTGCTGCTGCTGCTCGATCAAAGCCCTATGCGAAACGTTCATAATTTACAAAATGCAATCGAGCTCGTTGCCTACACACGCGTATGTATATCGTTTCGCGAAGCAAATGCAAATCCGATATCAGCTCGCATAGAGCAGCGTTAGACACATGTATATATATCGAGCGATACGCGTATATTACGCAGAGAGCTGGCGAGATATCGACGCGCGATAGCTATACGTATATACGCAGGAAAGAATGAGATTCGAGATATTACGAGCTTTAGTGCAGCTGTATAGTGTGCACCAACACGACTCGTTGTCAAATGCGTTTTTGCAGTTTCTCTATCCACTGCCGGTCGTCCGAGCTGAGATCGTTTAATATATACTCTACCGAGCTTATACACGCACGTGCAACGCATAATGCGAGCAGCTCGCAGCTGCAACGAAGAGAGAGAGAGAGAGAGAGAGAAAAAAGAACGACCGTCGATATACTACTTTTTTCCTTCTTCCTTCCTTTTTTTTTCATTTATGCCCACGGTAAAGTTGCGAGAGATATTATCCGAGGCTAGATTTTATGTGACGCGTTATATATCTATGAAAGCTCCGCGCGGGCGCGTACTGACCCCGATAATCTTGTATCAAAGGGACTTGACTTTTACACGATGCGGCGCTACAGAGCAGCCCTTGTGAAACCGATCGCCTTGCCACCCACGATACTCTTGACGGTATAATCATAAGCTGGATCCGCAGCTTCCGGATAAAAAGACGAGGGATTTAACACGATCTCGGTACGTTCGTTCGAGCTTGCGACAGTTAGACCATAAGAACGAGTAGTTCGTAGCTAATAAAGAAAGTATAACGAGCTTTTATCGAGCTTTTTGAGCAAAAATTGAGGTTTTAATGATCCGCGCGACGAGTGATTAAAAAATTCAGTGATTTTGCCGGGCTGCAGCTGAGAGGAGTACCGCGCGTCATTAGCAGGGCAAAAAAAATCGCAAACACGGCGTACATATATGTGTTTTGACGCGAGCGCGCCGAGCTTTTAGATGAAAAATTCAGGAAACGATTTGAGCGAGAATCGCGTACATATATGCAGAGCGAGAGAGAGAGAGAGAAAGAAAGAAGTAGTTCAGCGCGCGCGCCGGTAGAGAGAGAGAGAGAGAGAATAAAACACCGATGTCTTTAATAGTAAAACACACTCTAAAAGCAAGAAGAGAAGAGCAGAGAGAGAGAGAGAGAGGAAAAAAGAAAAGTCACGAGGGAATAGCAGATGAAAGGGTATATACTGCATACACACGGCGTGTATATAGCAGCAGCAGTGGGAGGATGTAAGTGCAGATCGTGCAACATGCATTATCGCCATTGTCCTTACACATCTTTTTACCCTATAGCCGTTGCGCACACGTATACACACACACACATATACAAAGCCGTGTACCATACAACAAGAGCCGCTTCTTGCATTTTTTACCGAAAGTGAAACTCGTTAAGTACCGACTGCTGCTACTGCTTGCCAGCTCGAGCAGTGGCAATGCTTATTCCACATTTCGTTCCTCTCTCGCATCCCCTTCTCGCTTCTTTTTTTATGTATTCCTTTTCTTCTCTCTCTCTCTCTCTCTCTCTCTCTTTCCCTCCTTCGCCTTTCCACTTTTTCGTTTCTCAAGAGCGCAGGCGAGCTTTTAACTACACCCGTTCACCAAGAGTACTTTCTTTGCGCTCGATTAAAATGCTGCTGCTGCTGCCTGTTGTTGTTGTTGTTGCTGCTGCTGCTGATGTTTTTTCCCATACTTTCAACCTTTTTCAGATGGATTCGCGTAGAGCTAATTTTTTCGCGAAGTAAGATTATGAATATAAAAGCAGGAATTGTAAGTCGATCTTGCTTTGTTAATTATAATGATTACACAAAACATTACGACAGTTATCCACACTGAGAGACCTTTTAGGATACCGTACTGTTCTGTCGCAGTGCA